CACATTGCGTTAGACCTAATTGACTCGAGTTATTTCTTGGCATAACCATAGATGTCAAATTGCAGTGGGGCCCCCATATTAATAAACTGGCGAGTAAACTTAGCTCAGCAGTCTTCGCGGTCAAAAATTTAGACAGTTGATTGATGTAGATACGGCTCGTCTGGTATATTTTAGCTATTTCCACAGTATAAAGCCTTATGGCATTCTACTTTGGGGAAATGCAGCCGACATAAACACTATCTTCATCCTGCAAAAGAGAGCTATTCGAGCAGTTTATAGTCTGTGCCCCAAACATTCACTAAGAAGCTTGTTTATAGAAATTAAAATATTGACTTTAGCTTCCCAGTACATACTTGCAAATGTTATGTATATCCACAAAAATAATAATGACTTTTCAAGATTTAGTAATGTGCATGATGTAAATACTAGGAACAAGCATAAATTAGTTCTACCCTCAAGATTCTAGATTGCGTAGGATAAGTAAATCTTTTATGGGACAATGTATACGCTTTTACAACAAAATCCCAGAAAACGTTCAAAATGAATCCGTTGCTAAATTCTCTTCTTGACGAAACGTAATGATTATGAAATTTAGGTAAAATACAAGAGTTATATCAGATAGCTATAATGTTACTTCTTCAAGCAAATTTTACGGAATCAATCAAATATGACACAATTCAGTCTGAACAAATAAAACTAACATTCCAAATTTAAAGTAATTCAAACATATACATAAATCAAACAGGTCATAGTTGACATCAAAAGAGTATGTATAATCTGAGATTACCAATCAACAACTGTAACCAGTGAATAGGTACGTATTTATATGTACCTATGTATTGCATATTATGTGTGTTTTTAATGAACTCCGCAATACTTCAGTGAAACCAATTTCTTTTGAAACAAACAAACTTACTGTAAATAGTACTTTATTAATCCTAATCAGTTTTTTTTGCCTGTAAATTCGTATTTTATTTTCCACTTCCAATCTATACTCTATGTATTTTTATTTAAGTGGAATTTAAATAAAATTTGCAAGTGTTTAACTAAATAAACTTAAACGCTTAAAGATACAAATAAGAAGTGAATAAAAGCTAAATTTACAAGCTTTTTATTCACTTCATATTTGTAGATCAACTTCTTAAACGAGTTTCCTCATTCAGCTTTACCGCCCCGGGCCTCCGAAGAGCTTAGTCCGCTACAGTTGTATTCCGTTTGAATGAGTAAAAAATAACATTTGTATGTTTCCTTAAAATTTCAAATCTTTAATAAATTATTTATAGGTGCCATCTATTAAGGACTTGTCGATTTTCTAGCTTGTGGAATTAGCTAGATATGACATCAACTTAACCATACACACATAACAAGGACAGATGGCAGTAAATACGATTTTGCATATGCAACAAGACGACTATATAGTCGAGTTACTATTTTTAACCAACAGATGTCAGTGGCCAGTGAAGTGAAGCAATAGACGATTTTCAAATTACGTATTTCTGATCCAAATTTCTCCGAACCGAAAGGTTTAAAAAAAGTTTATTAAAACTTTTGTCTTTTAAAGACGATAGCGTTTCATATTTTTTTCTATTTACTATATTAACTACAGTAAACCTTTCACCAGTAAGTTCTGTTTAATTATACATTTTCATTAGGTTAACATTATTGGATTTTAAGAAGTTAGGTACTCAATGAATGAAAAATTATTTAATTGATAGCTTCGACGGTTTTAAGAGGTTTTAAATTTGTAATATGGACATATTACAAATTTAAAACCTCTTAACAGATAAGGATTCGATAAAATATAAATAATTTATTTTTCTTAATCCAAAGCTTGTTAATTATGTAATATAAGAGGAAATTAATAACATTACGCAAATACATATAACATATTTATGCTTATAAGCTCGTAAGCGATATTTACGATAAGATTGTAATGTTTTAAAGTTTTTAAGCTTTGCATAGCTTTTATCGCGCGCTTTGAGTGCGGCAACCGAATCAAGAAATTCCGTAACGAAAATAAATCCTAACACCCCACACTCCGCTTACCATGTAGCTCGGCCGTGCGTTCACTTAATTGTGTAGATATGTATCTGGTACGACTGAACGAAGCTCGCACGGATGGATATTATAATATGATATTATAATTTTATTATCATATGATGATATGATAATATTTAGAGGATATCAAGTCTCAAACTTATGTTTCTTATTTCAGTGACCATAACTATATTTTAGTGATAAAAATTCCTCAATAACCTATGTAGTTTATTGAGGAATTTTACCTTACAATACATGTGTATTGTAAGGTAATAAAAATATTTTAAACGATATAAACTTCTCATTTATTCATTAAAAGTGAAAAAAATTCACACAACAAAAAGTGTAAATCGAATTAATATAATAAAATACTGCATGAATAAAAATAATAATAATTATAGTTGCAAAAATGATAAATACATAGTTACAGGCCGATAGTCACTTCCTTAAGTGACTACAAAAGTTGAAAGCAGGCAAAGGGGAAGCTAGTTGTAGGAGGAAGACTTGATTGTGTAACAACAGGAATGCGGAAATGAAGATTCACTTTTTATTTTATTTTTTTTAAACATTGCCCTTACTTTAGGATAACATTATCTTATTGTGTTATAAGGACGTTTTACAAACATGAATTTCACGTGGACAAACAACCAGACGCGAAACAACTGTCTGTGGGTTACAGAAATAGTTGTCTCATGTGGGGATCGAACCCACGACCCCGACGCCGAAGCCAATACCTTGGCAACTGCGCCACGGAGTCATCAACGTACATAAGTACTACATAAAAGGGGATGGTAGATGTGCACATAAAGACGTAATGATAGCGAAATATTTATAGAATAAAATCTTTCACGTCTTTTTTTGTAAAAACTACCAGGAACATACAATTTACAATAGATAACTTGATATTGCAATTTTCACAAAACATGATAATAAGAATTTATGAGCATGATTTCTACATTCTACAATGTACATGCGCAAGTAGCAACTCCTTTGATATATCAAAGAGCACAATTTTATTGCTTCCTGCGTGGTTCATACGACACCAAAACAAGTGACAGCTTGCCTTAGAATTGAACGTGTCTCACAATCTCGCGAATGTAAGAAAACTTTATTTTGTTCTCTCAATATCCAAATTGTATTATTTCCTTCTTACACTCATTGTTTATCACCTTTAGTATAACAATTGGTATTATTAACTTGTGTTAATAATACCAATTGTTATACTAAAGGTGTGTGTGTGAGATGCAATATTTTACCATGCATATTTTAACTATATATTTTCATAACTTTTAAACATTGAATAAGTGCGATTCGATCAGCTTAAATCGTATGCTTGATCACGTAATTATTGGTTTACGGGATCTTCATTATACTCGTACATGAATTACTTCAAATACTGTTTATAAATGTTAAGCGTAGTTCAAACCTGGATCGTCTCAATAGAAGATCATGTACAGGGAACACAACAAACCAATTATTAAGATATTCACCCGCCATGACGATATTATTTATTTATTTATTTATTTATACTTTATTGTACACCAAAAATGAAAATATATAAAAAGCAAATTACAAATGAATGTAAAAGGAAGTACAATAGGCGGTCTTATCGCTCAGAAAGCGATTTCTTCCAGACAACCATTGTGAAAAGAATATTTGCTAATGAGACATAAAGAAGAAAACAGAGGGAGGTGTACATGAATCACTTATGAACTTGATTCGATAGAGCCGAGCATCAACCCAACCCTCTGGTGGTAAGCGCAGCAAATTACCAACCCGACACAAACGCGAACGTCAACAAGCGTCGCCCGCGAAACGTCCTCATCGACCCGGTCGAGGAAGGGGACTTAGATACGCCGGACCCACCGCCGGGGGTCCCGCCGGATAACACTACACCCACAGCTAGTGTAACAACAAACACAATAGTTCGCCCTCGCCTCCGAGCACGGCGAGACCTAGACTATACTTCGTTAATATCAAGATAGCAAATATCAGCATAGTCAAGGATGGGCAGAAGTAGTAAATGAGCGAGCGCAACTTTAGTAGCAGTAGGAAGAAAATTGCGCAGTCTTCGTAAGGAGCCTATAGCAGAGAACATTTTCTTACTAGTCTCATTTATCTGTGGGGTCCATGTCAGACAGGCGTCAAAAAATATTCCCAGATTCTTCACCTTTTTACTGTACGGGGTGTGAGTACCGTTAAGAATAATTGGGGGTAAAGTAGACCAGTCGATTTTAGCGTGAAACCAACCTAGAACTCCCGATGATGATGGCTTGAGTTTTCGTAGGATTGATAGTCAAACCATATGCCTTACTCCAATTAGAAATCCAAGCCAAATCACCGTTAGTGCTTTCAATCGAAATAGGCAGGTTTTCCAGAGACGATTGAGTATAAATCTGGAGATCATCAGCGTACAAGTGGTAGGAAGAAGATAGGTGAGAGCTTATCGTATTAATAAAGATTGCAAACAGAAGAGGAGACAGCACGCCGCAACGCCGGCAACATTGTTATTCCAGGAAGGGAAAACATCCTGCACCTGAACACGTTGTCGGCGACCAAACAAGTATCTATGAAACCAGTCAACCACAATCGGAGATATGTTGAGAGAACGCAGAATAATAATAATAATAATAATAATTAAGACGAACAACTATAGGAGATACATCCTAAGGGATGGCACCGTCGACATCTGTCGAGCTTGTCGCCATCCCGGGGAGTCGCTTCGGCATGTTATCTCCGGTTGTTCCATGCTTTCTAACTCTGAGTATCTGCATAGACATAACCTAGTAGCCAGAATCCTACACCAGGAGCTCGCTCTGAAATACGGCCTCGTGGAACGGAAACTGCCGTATTATAAGTACTCTCCGGAGGCCGTGCTCGAAAATGACCGCGCCAGGCTCTATTGGGACCGGTCCATCATCACGGACAGGACAATTGTCGCGAACAAACCTGATATCGTGTTGATGGACCGGGCACAGTCGCGGGTATTTTTGGTCGACATTACCATTCCATATGATGAGAACCTCGTGAAAGCCGAAACAGATAAGAAGACGAAGTATCTGGACCTGGCTCACGAGGTGACCGACATGTGGGGTGGTGTGCCGACCGAAATTATCCCGATAGTCGTGTCTGCGAATGGGTTGATCCCAGTCAGCCTCTCTAAACATCTGAGGCGACTGGGACTCCGGGACGGATCGCTCCAGGCTCAAATGCAGAAGGCGGTGCTCCTCGATACCGCCCGCATCGTCCGCCGGTTTCTCTCCCTTTCGCCCTAACCCTCGGCCGTTTGGTCTCCCCTGCCGAGGGCTTCCGTCTGGTTGGGTCCTATTTATATATGTATTATATATATATATATATATATATGTTTATTTTTATCCATAATATTTATTTCATATATGCAATATATATCTATATCTTTATTTTTATTTTTATTTATAAACCCAACCAGACGAGAAAACAAATGAATATCTCCCATAATAATAATAATAACAGGTTATTAAGACGAACAACTATAGGAGATACATCCTAAAGGATGGCACCGTCGACATCTGTCGAGCTTGTCGCCATCCCGGGGAGTCGCTTCGGCATGTTATTTCCGGTTGTTCCATGCTTTCTAACTCTGAGTATCTGCATAGACACAACCTAGTAGCCAGAATCCTACACCAGGAGCTCGCTCTGAAATACGGCCTCGTGGATCGGAAATTGCCGTACTAAAACGAAATTGCCTATCGCCCTAACCCTCGGCCGTTTGGTCTCCCCTGCCGAGGGATCCGTCTGGTTGGGTCCTATTTATATATGTATTACATAAAATATTTTTATAAGTATGTTTATTTTTATCCATAATATTTATTTTATATATGCAATATGTATCTATATTTTTATTTATAAACCCAACCAGACGAGGAAACAAATGAATATCCCCCCGTAATAATAATAACCGTCCTGATTGACCATCTAATCACGTGGGGGGCGGATACACGAATGAGAAATTACTGGCGTGGCTAACGTGGCTCTGGAAACCCATTTAACATGGAGACTCGTTTAAAAAGGAAACGTAATGGACCGCTGCCCGGGGGTGATCGCCGGGGCACACCTGGAGCTGACGCTGGGTGTATCAGAATGCGAACCGTCAGCGGTGAGGAGTTGAGCAGGCGGGCTCCCACCGAGATACATATTAGAGCCGAAATCATTGAAGATGGTGACGAAATGACATACAACCGAAGCACACAGTCTAGACCATCATCACCATACATATCACCGTCACCTTCCAATAGTATTTTAAACACAGATCTACCCATATCAGGGGGTATATACCTGCGCAGAGGGTATAAACCTTCTTACCCGCGTCAATCATACAATCATACAATCAATCACAAGCATACACGCAAACTTCACACACATCCACACAAACCGAATCTATAACCCTAATAGTAGAAAACGATATTGAGACCTTAGTTGTCGCAGATCAAAATTTAGTAACAGACGTTTATATACACGACAAATTTAGAACAACATTGACACATTATTCTGGGATGGATCCAGCATCACGACCAAAACTACCCAAACTTAAATACAGCCCTAACCTATTTCGTTTAGTTAATTTATTTAATGAAAACATATTTACAGAGTTTTTATCTGACGACACACAACTCATAGACATACACACTCATATATTACACTGCTGTAGTTATATCTGAAGAACTCCACTTTAAAATCATTCAAAATACAGATAATACACAACCAAGGCACGACGTCAAACCAGCATGACAACAAAGGCTAGAAAAAAATATAGAAAAATTGAGAGCAGACTGTGATAGACTTACACAATATATTAACAGCAACCGATCAACCAAAGTAGTTAAGAGAGTAGTAGCAATATTTAAGAATAGTTTTGCTCATACCCGACATGAAAATAGTAACAGAAAACCAGAAGAATTCTTGGATACATTAAAACAAAAACTAGCACTTAAAGTTAAAATAAAAAGACGCAACAACGCAGAAATGATAACGCCTTATTTGCTACAAATCAAAAAATATTTTATAGAAAATTACAGACACCACACACCGACACAAAAACAAAGGCCAACACAGACGCACCTACTAAAGAACGACTGGAGATATTTTGGTCGAGTATATGGGAAGATCGAGTACAACACAACGATACAGCATCGTGGATAGCGGAAGAACAAGCAAAATGGAGAGCAATAGAAGAAATAGAATTTGTAGAGATCACAGAATCTGATATTAAAAATGTAACAGCTAGATTACATAATTGGAAGTCACCTGGTATAGACAAATTACACAATATTTGGTACAAAAAGTTAACATCATTACACAAACAATTAGCGAAAAATTTGACAGATATTATATTAGGACAACAAAACATACCCGAATTTATTGCAACAGAAATAACATACATGCTACCTAAAACTAAAAACGCAAAACAATCTTCTCAATACAGACCAATCACATGCTTACCCACGATATACAAAATTCTTACGTCATCAATCACAAAAAAAATCAATTCACATATCGAAACCCATAATATAATAGCAGAGGAACAGAAAGGATGCAGACGGGGCCACATGGGATGTAAGGAGCAGTTGATTATGGACTCTACTATACATAAACATGCAACAACAAAAAACAAAAACCTACATTGCACATACATAGATTACCAAAAAGCTTGTGATAGTATTCCACATTCTTGGCTGATAAAAATTTTAGAAATATATAAAATAAATTCAAAAATAATAGATTTTCTGCGCAATATAATGTTACGATGGAAAACCACTCTACAACTTAATAACCACCACAACACTCTTATGACACGACATATATCTACTAGGAAGACAACCACCTACAAACACAATAGCTGAAAAACTAAGTAAATACACAGATCTTAAAGAAGAAGTAACTAGAATCTGGAGACATGAAAAAGTTTTTGTAGTACCTATAGTTCTCTCAACGACCGGTGTTATCCCCAATCATCTTCTCCGTAGCCTAAAATTAATTGATTTGGAAGATTCCCTACAAAAAGCTGCCATTTTAAATACATGCAGAATCGTTAGGAAGTGCATGCAGATAGATGAGAACACATCCTCATCATGAAAAATACACCACATTGTTGCATTCACTTGACTTTGGTCCGTGAATGCACGTAAAACCAGAGCTGAGAAGAATAAACTTTTAAGAAAATAATAATAATAATAAAATATATTTATTCAAATAGACGCTAACAAAAAACATATATATTTCGAAAATATGTGAAGTCTGCCAATCCGCAGTGGGGCCGCGTGGTGGACTATGCCCTGATACCCTCTGAATAGAGGAAGCCTTGGCCCAGCTGTGGGACATGTATTTTACTTTACATAGACGCTTGCGCGTTCTTATGAAACGTCGAAATTTTACAAGGAAATTAATATGTTCGTAAGTTACCACCGGTTCGGAAAGCAGTTTCTGTTGAGAAGAAACCGGCAAGGAACTCAACAGATGCTCTTTTTTAAAAGGTCAGTTTACGATATAATGTTACAGGTATAATAGTTTTGTTTTAGCCTACGTGAGTATCAACAGCATTAACTGGGGTCGTCGAGATATTCAGCAATAGTATTATATGCTTTAGCCATAAGTTTACTTTTATCTTTTCGTTTAAATTCATCAATTGGCAGACTTAATTATCGACTGTGGGATTTTAATATACATGCGCACACTTTGCCCTATGAACGACCTGTTTACTTTTTGAAGACGAAACAATGGCGTAGTTAGTTTGTCCTTATTTCTAGTATTTAGTTTATGTCTGTCACTATTCTTTAGATAATTATTAATATTATGTTTAACATACAAAATATTACAATGAATATATTGAGCCGCAACAGTGAGTATATTAATCTCTTTAAAAATGTCTCTGAGTGTATTCCGGGCTCCGATGTTATAGACTGCTCGGACAGCTCTTTTTTGAAGAATAAATATAGAATTTATATCAGATGCACTACCCCACAACAAAATGCCGTAAGACAAGATGCTGTGGAAATAACTGAAATAAACTTGCTAATTGCAAAAACAGCGGAGCTTAACCTGTTCGCAAGAGATGATAGATGGGGACTCCATTGGAGCTTTGAATCCACTGTAATTCCCAAGAATACAGCGGACTCAACAGGATTAAGGGTTACGCTATTTAATGTTAAGCTAAAACTTTGCCTTCTTACGCTGGGAAGGGTAAAAAGAAGGCATTTAGTTTTTTTAGCATTTAACACCATATTATTAACGGTAAACCAGTGGAGGATACGCGAAAGTGCACTATTCACGTCGTCATAATTCGACACGTTTCGGTCAACCTTAAAAATGAGCGATGTGTCGTCAGCAAACAGTACAACATCACATAACTCACTGGCATAAAAGGGGAGATCATTTATATAAACTAAGAATAATAATGGACCCAAGATTGATCCTTGAGGGACACCCATTTTCATGAGGGACCCTGCGGAATTAACATCATTTATAGATACTTTTTGAATTCTATTACTAAGGTAAGAGGCAATGAGATTGCGGGCGATGTCACGAATGCCATAATAATCTAGCTTTTGAAGGAGGGTTTCGTGGTCTTTACAGTCGAAAGCCTTTGAAAGGTCGCAAAACACACCTATTGCATCTTGTGACCTTTCCCAAGCGTTGTAAATATGTTTGACAAGTGCGACATCCGCATCTGTTGTCGATCTGCCTTTAGTGAATCCATATTGCTCATTGTGGAAAATTTTGTTCATATTAAAATGTACTAAGAGTTAATTTAAAATAAGTTTTTCATAAATTTTACTCAGAGATGGCAATATGGAGATAGGTCTGTAATTTCCTGGATCATTTTTATCCCCTCTTTTGAATAATAGGGATATAATTTCATAAGATCTGGAAATATTCCAGAATCTATACATTTCTTAAGAATATATGCCAAATATGGTGCAATATACGGCATTATTGTGCTCATTAATTTTATGGACATGCCCCACAAAATAGCGAGCGATAATATGTCATAATCTACAGTTGAATGCATTGCTGAAGTCAAGCAAAGTCAGTGCAGTAAGTCTTTGATTATCCATGCCATAACGAATGTCGTCGGTAATTTTTCGTGTAGTCGTGCTGTGGTCAGGACGAAAACCGGATCGAAATGGATCGAGCAGATTGTTTTGGACGAGGTAGGAATGTAATTGCTTTTGGACAAGGCGTTCAAGAACTTTAGATAAGAATGGAAGGGAAATATACCGGTAATCGGAGAAACTAGCGGGATTAATTTTTTTTCGGGAGAGGAATAACATTGGCATCTTTCCAAGCCGTGGGAAAAGAAGCAGTTTTCAGGGAGTTGTTGAGGATAGAAGTAATTACAGGGGTAAGGAAGTTCAGGAGAGGAAAGACCATTTTACGGCTAACGCAATCAATACCGACAGAGTTCGAATGGATGGACGATATGGCTCTCTCAACATCACGATCGTCGATTTGACTAAAATTAAAAGCGGCATTATTAGGAGTTGGAGTGTTTGAAAGGGAATATAAAGTGTTAGCTTTTGCTTCATTATTAATGCAAGACGAGGAGGAAAAATGCTGATTAAGCTGATGAAGATCAGTATCATGAGAAGAAATGTTATGGCATCATTTCCTAACTCTTAAATATTTAAGAAATTTCCAGACCCTCGCAGGGTCAGGGTCTTGGACTGACTTATGAATATGGCGTCGTTGTGCTATCCGACACACATTGCAGCAACGATTTCGTACTAGCATGTATTTCTCTTTATTTATGTCACTAGGATTTGACTTGTATTTTAATTTGGCCTTGTTCTTTTTGTCAATAATTTGTTTGATATCATCAGTGAGCCATGGAGAAGGAGGGTGTCGAACGCGCACAGGACGAACAGGAGCACGAATGTCATAATGTTGAATTATAAGAGAATTAAATAAGGCTACCTGTTCGTTAATCGTAGGGGCGTCAACAACCACATTCCAATCCATCTTTTCCGCGTCCAGAAGGAGTTGCTTTTCGTTCATACTGTAACGACCTATTAATAATAATAAATATTATTATTAATTAGTCATAATAAAGATCAATTAAGATGAAAGTAAAACGTTTAAGAACGTTTAGTCACAATAAAAGTTAACAATATATACTTAAATTTAAGAAATATAAGTGTTAGTATGAGAAAATGATATTACCAAAATTTGATAAAAAATAGTTAAAAATCACTTAAAATACTCAAAAAAGGATATTTATTAAAAATATAGCAAGATACGATCACTATTATGTCCATTAAATACAATTCCATACTTAGTGATTTCTAAGGGAAGTATTATGTACCGTGCGGGGACACATTTGTATGACCGCACATATGTAAGTACAGAGGTCGATCGCGACTCTTAGTAGTAGTCTAATGGATAAAAGTAATAATATGTGAAGGCTCAGAGAAAAAATAATGAATATATAAATATAATGAAGAGCAATGAATGACTTGGGACTTTATAAGACATATTACTATGGAGTTGCGTGGTACTTCTGTACGACGATATGGTCTACGGTAAACGTGGAACCATGAATGGATATGTCTTCAGTGGTAGACATATCATCGATAGCTGGTGGTAGTTGGCGTCTTAGTGACCATCACTATGATACGTTGGCTGTCATTCGGCATAGTAAGAGTTTGGTGGTAGTTGGCGTCTTAGTGTGTTGCACTATGATACTTCGACTGATCATCTGACTTTGGGGAGTCTGGTGGTGGCTTGCGTCTTAGTGTTTTCCACTATGATACGTTGGCTATTGCTTGACTGGGGTGGGGGTCCGTTGGTGGTTGGCGTCTTAGTGTTTACGCTATGATACGTCGACTATCATTCGGATCGTGAAAGAGTATGTTTGGACACTTCGTGTGTTCCGAGTATATTCTAAACTTTGGAGCCGAAGTTGATCGGAGTTATATTGGTGTGGTGTGAGGGTGTGCCACCTACGCGATAGTCACATTGATGCGTGCGGCTATATGCAGTAATGCGTCTTGTGGTATTTGCGGGGTGATCTGCGCCTAATATCATTGCATCGTATGAGTCTGGTTGACGGAGGTTCGAGGTGATGATGTCTGCTGTGTATGCGGATAGGCTGTATGTTGGCGTGTTGACCTGCGATAGTTGTATTGATGCATGTTGCATATGGTGACATTGCGTCTTGCGACATTTGCTTGGGAGACGACGCCATTCATAATGGCCGAGTCTGCGTCTCGGTTTGATGCACATCTCAGTAGATTTGTCCAAGTCGGGTTCCTGATGACGGAACTGCAGACTGTCTGACCTCTTTATACGTTTTATCATTATTAACGAATCTCAGTAAAGTTCCCACCGTTCGAACGAATAATGGCAACTTGCTGGTGGGTGAGACAAACTTGATCGAAAATACACTATACTCAACGTCAGAGACACTGACAAATAAATATATGTTGCCAATTATAAACCCTTCTGATGGCTAAACATAAAAATCACAACTATGGCTATATCTGACTATTTCAATGGTTGGTGGAGCATATGCGTTTACCTCATGTGGATGGTAGCTGGCGAGAGAAAACCTCTCAAGGCTGCGGCGATGCCGTGCAACGTTTTAACCATACCCTTGGGAAATGTCGTGCTAACCTTTTTAATGGTGGTGATGCCAAAACACTAACAATCACGTCTGCAGTCGCGGCGATCTGGCAAAAGTGGTGGCGCTTACGGAGGGCTTATTATATCATAGGGCCAGAGTGCCTGATCTTTAACACATGCCCAAAACCGTATTGACGTACATTCACGAAGACTGGATTTGTCGTCGGCTTGTATGACGTTTACACGCATTGACATGCGCGACTTCGGTCAAAGTTTGTGCTTACGCACTGCCAAGGGGCCAAGCCCTCATTATGCTGGTAAAACAGCTTTGCAATGGACTTCGGTCCTTTCCCCAACTTTTTGTCCCTCTCCTGGGGGGGGGGGGGGGGCAATATGTTGGTTGGCGCTCACCGCACACGGCGTTGGTGAGTGTTTTCATGGAGCCGTGTGCCTTTCCTACATTTTTTTTAAATGTGGGGGAGCTGTTGACTTGTATCGGGTATGTAAAATTGATGTGAGCCCTTTTCAAGAGAGAAGGGATATTAGTTTAAAATTATATTGTGAGCCCTTTACAAGCGTGAGAGGGAGTATACTATATACTCTGAGCCCGTCTCAAGCGAGTCGGGATTAGTTCTTAAGAAAGAAATCTGACATTATCTCTGGCTTATACCACAACTAGTGAATATTTATCTATCCAAGATCCACCTAAAAGAATCAAGTTACTAAATAAACACAACGTAAATGCGGTCCTACCGAATATGACGATCACAATAATATTTTATACGGCTAATTATTACCTTTAGAAAGATCCTATAGAAAGATCAATAAATTATCCTGGTCACGTAATGATGTTATATGATTTATTCATATAATGGGGGAAAAAATATATAAGTTATAATTATATATACACAATAAAGGGGGGGGGGGGGGGGGGGGGGGGGGTGCGAGTTACAATACCATAAAATGAGGTCTTATTTTGTAAGATAGGAAAAGAAGATCGTTATAGGAAAATGCATCAGCGGCACATTGGCCATGTTTATTAACATGATCAAGTGAAGAAAGAAACATTAGATCGAGAAGCGAAAGGCAAATAATTTGGAAAAAAATGAGTAGCAGATAAAGGAAGAAGGTTTAAGTTTACGGCTTCTATAATAGATTTAAGTTGGGTGGATCTGAAATTATTTTTCAACAAACAAGTGTTAAAATCACCCATGATTATTGAGTGGCAGTAAATAGGGGTCAGGTTTTCGAGTAGATTTTCCAATGCTGAGGACTCCCAAAAGTAATTTTGTATGCGAAGGACAATTTCAATAGACAGAAATTCTGCTCCACTTCCAGACTGCGGTTGTGACGTTTGAATTATTAAAAAAGGTATATGAGATCTGAGATATATAGTAACGCCACCACCGCCACGATCGGTTCGGTCATTACGGATTAGATGAAAGCCTGGAAGCGAGTAGGAAGTAGATGGAATACATGGCTTTAGCCAGGATTCTGAAACAAGAATTGCTTGTATATTTTTACTATTAAAACTTGACAACATATCCGGGTAGTGAGCAAGAATACTTTGGGCGTTTATATGAACAATGTTAAAATTTTTAGGAACGTCTAGAAAATAGGAGTCTAATGTAGTGTGTAAGGGTGGTATACTCTTAAAACTATCAAAGCTGGTCGATCCATCAGAAGCGGAGACAAAGGAAATGGAGTCACTATTACAAATGCCATCATCTAATGATATCATTTTAAAATAATATAAAAAAACAGCAAAAACTTAAGAAATATAAAACTAGTTAAATAAAATAAAAAAACTATAAAATATAAAAATTAAAAACTATAACAGTAAAAAGGTATCATTAATAAACTACTTGCCAACAGCATAAAAAAGACATAAAAATTAAAAAAAATACATTATACTCTCCAGAAACGGAACGTAAACTAATTAGTACATTTCTCAAAAGAATTATGCTGGCAGCACATGATTAGTGTAAACGTAGTGATTACATTCTCTTTGGTCATTGTCAATATAGGCAGTGCCAACTGACATGTGACAAAACAAAACAAATATATTATATATTTCACTTATTATTCGAAAGGACTAATCAATGTAATGTAATATAAAATACTAAAATAAATATTATGTCTACAATACACTAAAACACAACAATTTTATAACATAAGAAGTGAAATGAAACTGTATTGTAGTAAAGGGCAAAAATGTTATTTTTTACCCGTTCTCTTTGCACGTGGAGCACCTTTATTATCAGACAGACTTTCTACGTGATGTCGTGTACAGTCTGGTGTGAAAAGATGGATAACGCCATCCCGGGTCCAGCATTTGGTGACGCCGTATCTGCGCCTAGCTTCCATAAATACATTATGGCGACTTCTAGTGAGGAACTCTGACTGTGTGATTCCGGAGCCTTTGTGTTTAGTTTTAGGGAACCAAACCTTATCGCGCAATGATGACTCGTGAAACTTGACCACCACAGGTCTGAACACTTTATTGGAGGGACGCCCCAGACGATGACAGCGGCTGAAAACTGCATTAGTTATGCCAGGGATTTGCAACTTGTTAGTAATGAGTGTACTAACTATGATAGACGTGTCTTCCGCTTTCTCTTCTGGGATACCATGCAGGAGGATCATCTTTTTACGACGTCTCATCTCATTCCGGTCTAGCTCCCTCCGCAGCAGATCTACCTGACTATGCAGGGTTGTTAAAGCTGCTAGGATACATTTCTTAAAACTATTAAATTCGGCAGCTAAGGAAGACGTACTTGATCCATTTGGATTTCCTTTGTGTAGTTCCCGCCGAAACACTTCCATTTGAGCTTGAAACTGCTCAGACATTTCCACAAGTGATTCCTTCAGTGCTTCCATGTTGAAAAGTATTTGAAATATGCAGCAAATCTTTAATTTATATATGGAAGTAAGTGCTGGTAGGTAGTTTTAGATTATATGTACGTATATTTAAATTAAATTTAAATACAAGAGTCAAAAACGTGTCGGTTCTTATTACGCCTACCCTCCAAAATTATCTGCGTTGATGCAATGTAATATTATTGTATATATATATATATATATATATATATATATATATATATACTAGCTAAATTATTACTAGAGGAATCGGAACGCACATAGTGTTTGATAGGTTACACGGCCATAGTTGACAGGTTGACAGGTACAGTTTGTAGGGGAAAATAAAATTGTTGCTATTTCGATTTTCCATGCAATTCTTCCATAATTTCTCATCGTTTAAACCTTCCCTGGACTGCCACAAATATTTCAAAACCAAAATGAGCCAAATCGGTCCACCAGTTCCCGAGTTTTAGCGAGATATATATATATATATATATATATATATATATATATATATATATATATATATATATATATATATATATATATATAAATGAATAATTTTAACCTGACCATGTAGTTGATCTCTCCAAAGATACGCAAGACCCAGAAGTCTTCACTGCCTTCAGGCATCTTCAGGCAATCTCGTGTGGTTATGGTCCATATGGTTGCCGTAAGGCACTAGACTAGTAAGTTTGTCTGTGCTGTATCGGTAGTCCCTTTGGCCGACGAAAGATGGTGAATTGATGATGATGACTTCAAAAAAGATGCATCTATTTTAAGTATGTTTCCTAACGTTTATAACGTTTCTAGTGCAACTAATTTAAGTTGCACGTGCGTGATTCGTACATTCGAACGTGAATAAATTATAACCAAACGGCGTACGGCCCATTCGATGTTAATTCTATTTAGCAAACTGCACGTCTGCCAACCGCAATCGGTTCAGTTCAATGTGCTCGACCTGTTCTGAATATTTTATGTCCGCTAATGGACCTAAACACTTATCTATATTGCTTTTACTTCGATCTAGCTGGGTTCGGTATCCCGGTAGATAAAATTTATTAACTCATACCCTTATTTATGATCGCACTTTTTGATTAATCGTATAAATGTGATTGTGTCTTTCACATTCCCGGAATAATCCTTCATTTATTTTATTATGTCATAAAACAGCCTTTAAATAAAATCCATCAATAACGCTACGGACATGTAAAGGAATTAAGTCGAGTTGACAATTTTAACAATATTTTAGCAATAGAATTGTAGGAAGCATCACAAAACCCTGCTCACAACTCATCATGATTTTGTTAGAATAAATAGTTTAGCATAATATTCCAGGAGTAATGTAATATCTATTTCGTCAGACTATTAAATAACTTTGTGGCATATGCATGCTGTATTTTTTGTGCATTGGCCTCTAAAGGCGAACGAAGCTCCAAAACAAACCGAACGCAGTATAAAATTTTAGAATATCAACATGTTCTTCTTACTCCTGCCCTTATCCTACTTGAATTGAACTTACGACGCTCGGCGCCGAAGTTATTATGACATGTTGGTTTGCAATTGGTTAGCAACTGCTTCTGCAACTACGGTTCGTCGGTCCGTACCATGTTGTAACTATAATTTTAACAGAGTGCGTATATTAACTTTAATTTTAACATTACATTGCATTAACGAAAGGGCAGGTCTGTCCAGGGAAATAGCACGACTTCATAGAAGACCGGCATGAAGTGGAAGTGTTTTCTCTTAGACATCAGTCTTAGTCTCGTTCGCATTTCTCTACTTTAATAACGTCCATGTACACAAGAATTCAATTTGCTCCATTTAAATTAAATTCATAAATAAATAAGTGCAAGCTTATTGTAGCTACCCGGGCTCGGTAACAATTTTGCAATCAAGTGCTGTTGTCATTGTATTCTTCGTTGTTATAGTTCTTTGTTTCCATCGCTCTTTGTTCTAATTTGGTATAAATAACGGCATCCTTTGATTTTGAGTCTATTACAATCGAGACACAGGTCGAATCGTATTCTGTCGCTATCTTGTTTATACATTTACGAAATTTCAATATTTGCTCATAAACATCCGACCCTGTTTAAAAGTAATTTAGAAATAAACAATCGAAATAGTACATTCTCGAACAAACTACACATGCCTCCCCATCATACCACAATGTTCAGCAGAAAATGTTATTATATGGCCATTAGAATATATAATAAATTACCAAATAGATTAAAAACTGTAAATTTAACATTATTTTGCGCGAAATCTGTTAAACTTTCTAATAAGTAAATGCTACTATTCCACAGGGCATTATTTAAAAGATAAAAATTCATAAAAACACTAAATTATGTTATTGTTTCTTTGCATGTATTTAATGTAAAATGTAATATTTATATACCAGAAATGCTAGAACATAACTGATGATACAACATTTAAAACCTATATTGTACCATGTTCAAACTCAGAAACGTATCTTTCTTTCTTTTTTTACCAAAAGACGACTACCTACTTAAAGCTTTTTTATTATTTAATGTAAAGTCGTGATTTTACTATAAAATACCAGTGTTTTTCTTAGCCGCTAATTTTTATTAAATTATAACAAAGGAGGTTTTATGATCAAGAAAATACAGATATATTGAAGTGAATATAAATAGAACCACGTTATTTCTGAGGCGAGGCAGTTTTTAATTTAGTGCACGAGAGCAGCACTTTCAACGAGCGGGAAAACTAAAAAAAAAAATAAGGTATAGGATTGAGTTTTCAGTGATCCTACGAAGCGGATTTATTTTTCATCAAAATCCGGCACGAATCCGATAGCTTCGTATTTGGCCATGCACGCCCGTTTGAATTAGAAAAAGTATTCGTCGTGTATATATAAGGATCTTTTTAATTATTACATTTATTTATTTTTTCTTTATGTACAAGGCAAAACAAGTCCCAGTCAACTACAACTAGGTTGGTACAGAGAAGATAAGGTAGATCCACACAACATATAAATATAATATAAAACTATTTGAGTAGCTTAATAAGATTGTAATAATTTTCTTAGAAATACAGTGATCGTGTCACCTTTTTCCATTGTTTTGATATATAAAACATGGAAGAGAGGAAGAACAACGGAGTTAATTATTTCTTTAGTGAAAACCTTTAAAATAATAACGAGAAGTGTGTGAAACCTTTAAAATGTAACATTTCTTTATAAAGATGTAATATTTACTCTATTTTGATAATCAAATTATACTTAAATGTGAAATTGAATCTCTCCCAATGACAATCTTAATAATGTAAAGTTAATTTTAACTTGAAGTTATTAAGTACTTATCATTTATAAAGAGAACTTGATATTGCAAATGTCTATGAAGTCTATGGTGGTGGTCACTTACCATCAGGTGACCCACTTGATCGTTTGCCTCTTTCTTCCATAAATAAAAACAATAAAGAACCTTTGACGGTAGTTGCAAAAAGGAAGGAATAAACTATATTTACAGGATAAGGCTGGTGCAGTAAGTATTGAAGTAAACAACTTAGTAATTACCAATAATTCTTAACGAGTACAGAGTCTAGAGTTGTTTGTTTACTTTTCTCATAGTATTGTTTACATTGTTCTAATTTATAAGGTCCTCCACACCGATGTAATAGTTCATTAGTTAGTAGGTAAGTCAGTTCGACACGACAGTCCGGTACGACAGTCCGTTACGATAGTCTGTTAAGTCAGTCAGTCACATCTAGTCCGAGTAGTCGTATAGTCTGCTGTAATAAATAAATGTACTTCAATATATCATCACGCTACTGGTTGTCGTTTAAAAACCCCTTCCGACCACCCGAACATTACATAGAAATTAACTTGAGTCAAACCATTAAATTTTTCTTTAAAAAATTGAAACTTCGATTCAACAATTACAACTGATGTTTTTTTTTTAAAATAAATACCGCGTTATAATCTTTAAATTTAAAATGAATATTTTGATTAAAAAGAATTCACATTACAGAGAATGATGCTGCAATTCGTATACCTACATAAATATGAGACGACATCACGTCACTCATATAAACATGATTCATCACATCGACAAGTGATCAATCACTCAGTGTATCGGTTAATTTGCCTTTACCGATACCCTACACGAGTTTTAAAAGATGAGAACAGATAAACTGAAAAATTATATCGGAAAAGTGCTGTAGGAATTTTATAATTTGAAAAATTTATAAATTGAAAGCAGCCTTAAATGCTTCAAGATATTGTTCTCCATTATTCTATTTTAGCTATATAGTTATTAGTTTTAAGTTTTTTATTATGTTTTGTCACAAATATTTATTCTTTGTCACTTTTATAGTATGTACCATCAATTTTCTTGTTTTTTTCTTATATAACTTGCTGTCGTCGCATACTTGGAATGTCAACTGAATATTATAATATTGTCTTTGTGTTATTATTTAAATACGTTGTCATTCTGCTTTGTGATGCTACAAATAAATAAATAAATAAATAATCCAATCAATTTTGTGGACTTAAATAAATTTTAAGATTATTTAAAAAAAACGCTTATAAGGTGTTTCTCATTTTATAATCGCGAAAATCAATTCTCAGGAAACTCTATTTAAGAGTAAGCTTCAAACTAGCTTTTTAAAACCTGTAAGAGCACCTAAGTTCTAAGAAGTATATTTACCGAGAATTGAATGTAGTTGACTTGCCGTCAGATACACTGACACGAGAGTACCTTAAATCAAGTTTTATTAAAAAAAGAGAATTTTGAGAAAACGAGATTTACAAGTGTTAAACTTTACATCTCTTTAAGATTAAAATTTCGCAATGGGCTAAGAATTTTTGTAATTAAGGTATAATTCCTCGTTTTCAACATACTTTATTGATATTAAAATGTGTTCATTAAATTATATGAATGATGAAGTATATCAAAAGGAACTCTTCAAAGATAGCACTGGAAGATAAGGAGTTGTAGCGCATAAAAGATAAGGCATGGTCGCGACACGACGATCCATAAGAAATCTATTTTAAAAAT